GCTTGGCCTTTTTTTTCTCTCTCTACCAGAAAGATGAAATAACTTATAACTGTGTGTGTATGTTCCTGGATATGTGATGTGAATTTGTGTGTGTGTGTGTGTGTGTGTGTATGTGTATGTGCATGTTCATGTGTGTTAGCACACATGCAATAATGGGAGCCAAAAGTGAACCTCTGGTGTCCATCTTGGTTTCAGGCACGTCTTCAGGGGACTATCTCTTAGCTGAGATGGGAAGGCCCACTTTCACTGGGTGTAGTCTTGTGTCTCAGGCTGAATGAACAGGAGAACGCAAGCTGACCCCCTTCACTGTGATGGGTTTTACCCTGGAGCTGTGAGCCAAAATTAACCTTTCTCCCTCAAGCTGTGTCTGCCAGGTACCTTGTCACAGAAAAAGGAAAGGCAATTAACACAGGGTTGCTCCCTGAGCCTGCAGCTCACAATTTAAGCTAGGCTGCGTGACCAAAGAGCCCCAGGAATCCACCTGTCATCACCTCCTCCATGTTGAGATTTAAAACTCATGCCACATTGAGTGGCTTTTGACATTGATTTGGGGTCTCGAACTCAGGTCCTTTGCCAACTGAGCTATTTATTTAGCCCCCACTCTTTTCTCATAATGAACACTTATTGAGTGCCTACTGCATGCAAGACAAGGTCAGCCCACCGAAGCATGGAGATTCAAAAGGGCCGATGTGTCCCCAATGGCCAACAGCAGCCATCTTCCCCCATCTCAGACCATTATGGCTAGAACCTAGACCCCAAGTCATAGAATGAAATATTGGATCCCAAAGCAGATGTTCCATACAACCCAACCCCAGCATCCCTGGCTGCAGTCACTACAGGCATTAGGTGGACCTCCAGATAAGGACGTTAGATGTGAAAGTTCATGGGTTCTGGGCCTCCTGCCCTCCACAGAGGCACTGTGGGCACAAGAGGTATGGGTGTGGACTCCAGTGTGACAGGTACTGAGATCGGAGGACACAAGGGAGGCAAGCTTCCATCTTGGTCTAGAAAAGGCATCATGGGATGCTGTCAAACGTGCTCAGAGACTCTTAAGTGCTTAGAAGCAGGGTCACAAGACCCTGCAGGAGCTGGGAAAGGCATCTCTGCTGGATTTCAGACCCCTTTGCATTTGGTTTTGAAGTGTAGACAGGTTGTATCTGCTGGTCACACCAGCAAAGCTGACTAGAGAAGCATTTCTTGTCATCTCGTTTCAATGTCTCCTCCCTGACGTGCGCGTGTCCTTACCAGAGCAAACCAGCAAGACTGTAGACTTTACCTGGCGACCAGTGATGAACGAAACTGGAGATCCCGCCTCACACCACAGCCAGCCTCAGGGAAGGGATGCTGAGAGTGAGGGCTGAGCCTAGGTGCCCCAGGCTGGCAACACAAGCTGAGCGTCCCTGATAAGCCCAAAGAAGATGATGAACAACCATTTGCTCAACCTCTCCCAGGTGTTGAGGACCAACCTGTGCATCGGGATGCTTGAGGCAAACATTATCCTTCGTATGGTTTAAGTAACCTAGGCTACCATACCAAGGCCCTTGCTTTCCCCTTTTTCCTCCCCTTATGAGTAGTGACGTGTCCTAGGGTTCCCTATCTGTGGCTAGACTTTAGCAAGTCAACATCAGCTAAGGGACCTAGGAGCAGAGACGGGAAATGAGAAAGACTTGGGGGAAGCAGGAGGCTGGACACGGTAGAACGGTAACCTTGTTCCTGTTAGCAGCTAGTTAAAGCGGTAGCCCAGAGCTCCCTGCGTGGTTTGGGTCCCAGGAAAGGAGGGGGTGCCTGGGCCCAACAGAGCTCAATCCACCCACAGCCACTCAAGGCAGCTTTTCAAATCAGCCAAGCCGCTAATGTGTATGCTGAACAGCCAGCCCGGGCCTGCATAGACCTGGCCCTCTGCCACCTACTTGCAAGCAGTGTGGGCTCCCAGCATGTTCATGGGATGAAAAAACGACAAACAAACAGGCTGTGAGCAGATCTGATACAGATGGAAGCCTCGGGGCCTCTTGGTACCTGGTTCCGAGACTGGGTCTGGAATCTTCTGTGCATCTGGCTCTGGTCTGGCTAGCCTCAGTGCCTGGTGGAGGAAAGCTGTTCTCTGACCCTATTCTGGAAGCCCTCCCCCCATCCGCTCTTTGGAATTTATTTATTATTTACAGCTGCTCCGGGAGATCTGCCAGGACACCTCCTGCATAATTACAGCTCCTGCTGGTGCAGGGAGCCTGCCTGAGACGAAGTAGATGGCAGAACTTTGATAGGAACAAGGAGACAGCCAAAAGTAGTCCTTCTATGACCTGCACACGGATGGCGGGTTTGGGTGTGGGACACAAGAATGCCCCGGGCAAGACTCTTGCCTTGGGAATGTTACCAGGACAGGGGCCAAGAAGGTAGAGATCGTTCTACAGACATGGTTTGGGGAGGGCACTACTGAGCGCACACACACACACACACACACACACCCTATCATCACCATCACCATTATCATCATCATCATCACTTTCTCGGTGCCAGGAGCCACAGGAAGGAAGCAAGAACACAGAGAACTCGTGTGAGGTCTCCAAGGCCACACAGCTGAACGTTGTCAGGGGGCAGGAATTCAACCCAGTTGTCTTTGGGTATTACTGGTCCATCCATGAGTCACATGGGAATGGCATCAGGTATGATGATAGCCAGAGACTGAGTTCTGAGAAACTTTTAAAAGGTGAGAGGCTCTCTGCTTCTGCCTTGGGGGATTGTAGGTACGTCAAGGCCACTCACTGGAGAATAAGATATGGGTAAGGCCTGAAAGTCAAACACGGTGGACACTGAGGCAGCCATCGGGACCCTTGTCCTAGGAAGATGTTCTTGGAGAACGCAGTGCGAGTGGAGATTGAAGGAGGCTGTGACACCTGCCATTGACCTGGGTCAATACCCCACTTACTCCCTGAATTCAGTACCGGAATTAAACTCAAGTAACTGCTCTCTGTTGACACAAAATGCTTGCCAGATATCTCTTCTCTGGGCCTCAGTTTCCCCAAAGACAGTGTTCCAGTGAGCATTTTTAAAGAAACAGCTGCCGGGAAGTTGATGGAGACACAGGACAGTCAATCACCGCAGCTGGAGAGATGGAGCTGGCTGTCCCTAGAGATGAAAAGAAAAGGGGCTCATAGGACACAGGGAGGGAGAAGACCCGGAACAGAGGAAGGAGCCACAGCATGTGTTCTGTAGGCTCAGCTTGGCGGGCTGGAGATGCAGAATCCTCAGAAGCTGAGGTGGCCCAGGAGGCCTGGGAAATCTGTTCCCGACCCTGTGCATGTCAGCAATGAGGATGATCTGGTGTGTGAGCCTTAAAATTGCCCAGCGCTTCTGAGTTTGTCCTGCCTGGCCACAACACAGAGGGAGTTGTAAGATGGTCCACAGCATGGGGCATGTCCATGCTCGCTGTCCGTCCAATGACTCTCTGGTCCCCAGTACTTACGGAGAGTCCCTTAATGTCAGCTGCCAGCACGCTGGCCTTAAAAGGAGTCCCAGCTACAGAAGCAATCAGATGAGCTAATGAGAAGAAAATCATAAGCTATTGGGGCCATCGACCTCAAGGCTCCACACTCCTGCCCTGCTTTGCTTACATATATGATTTTCTTCAATTCTCAAATATCAGTTAGTGTGAGTTGGCTGCAAAGAACATAATACCTGACTACGAGACTAAGACTAAGGCCACGAGCTGCCAATTCATCTCACGTGTGGTTCAATAACAAGACAAACTCCCAGGAACCCTGACTTTTTCATCAGTCTCAGCCTTGTTCTTATATCAAAATGGCTGCTCCAGCTCCAGCCATCACAATGGATGCCAGGGAGAAAATGAGTAGAGAACCCTCTTTTCTAAAGAAATGAGGTCCCTTTTAAGACTTCCTCTTATGTCTCACTAGTTAAAATTGGGTCAGAGGCCCAGTCTGAGTGAATGACTCAATAAACCATCAGAGTCACCTTTTGGGAGTCCTGTCTGTGATGATCACAAGTGATTTCTGTGGGTACAGTCACTGCTGCTCCAAACAGACAGCATCCCCTGCTAGTGAGCTGCCAGGAAAAGGAAGGGAGATGAACGTTTTGTGCACAGAATGGAGCACAGGCAGGTAGCAGTAAGGAGGTGCCATGGGCACGGGACAGAGGGATGGTACTCAAGAAGGAGAGGAGCCCCTGGCAGGCATTGGCGGGCAATGCGCAGTAGATTACCCACACTGGCCATAACACCCCTCTGAAGTCTGTTCTGGTCTCTCTGGGATGCAGTAACAGGTTAGTGTAGAGGAGAAACTGAGGCAGGAGGCTGAACAGTGCTTGTGCAGAGATTCTGAACTACCTGGGGTGGATCTGGATATTCTCTGATCCCTTCTCTTTGGCAAGCAAACATGACATTTCTTTGACTAGGTCTAGAAAGGATAAGGACCAAGGCTGGGAGCCCCATCCCACCAAGAAGAAGAAATACCCAAAGGCACTGAAGGCAGGCTGATGGGTTAAGGAGTCCAGGCTGAAGAGCCAGCTGAGAGAGGCATTGCCACCAATGTCCATGGCCTTGAGGAGCAGTGCAGACCCCACTGACAGTGCACACCTCCAGGCATGGCAGTGGTAAAGTCTTGTCATTTCTGGGTGGAGCTGAGTCAGAGGTGGGAGAGACAGGGAAGAAAGGCTAGCCCACGGGAAGAGGGCAGTGAGACAGAGGGGAATCTCTCCACACTCAGACCCCTTGCAAAGCCCCCACAGTGTCTCCAGCATCCCCACCTCCAGCCTGGACCCTCCTGTTTCCTCCCTCCTTCCCTGAGAGCCTGAGCTCTCTGAGAACATGGAGGATGCTGGCTGAGAATTCACCTCCCCATGTGGAGTCAATCCTGGGACTTTCCCTTTAAGAGCTGTCAGAGCAGGGAGGCTGGCCAAGCTGGGCTGGAGGTGGGGACAGAGGGAAGAAAAGGAGAGAGAGGGAGAGAGGCAGGAAAAGTTTTTTTAAGAGGAAAATGCAGGGCTGGTCTGTTGGCCTGACGTCAGATGTCGCTTTCATAACCCCCCCCCCCTCGGGGGCTGAGGAAGGCTCTCCGCTGCTCTGATGGGCCAGCCCAGTTCTGGCCCCGCTCCCCGGAGAGGCATCTGCATCCTCTGGGCTGAAAGGTAGCGCCTGTGCCGCTGACTTCCAGGCATGAGGTGGCTCCTGCCCTGGACGCTGGCAGCTGTGGCAGTCCTGGTGGCGGGCAGCGTCCTGGCCACGGTGAGTCCTGCCTGGAAAGGATTGGTGAGGGGGACCTGATCCCTTCCCACCTGGTGATGAGGCCAAGGGACTGGGGGTCAAGACAAGATGGATTGGAATAGTGCCCTGAGAGGGGAGAGGGCTGCTGGGATCTGAAGAAGCTGGCGGAGTAAGGGGCAGAAGGAGCACCCCTCAAGAGAGAGCCAGTGTTCTTTCCTTTATTTTCATAGAGTAACACTCAACAAAATAGGAGGTTGGGGGATCAGCACTTCGGACTGGCTGTGTGATCTGGGGTGGATCATTCACCTATTTCAGAGCAGCATAAAATGAGGGGGTTCCTGGGGAGTTTGAAAACCCCAGGACTGTGAGCATCAGTGCTCCCAAGAGGAGAGGTGCTGGGAAACCCCAGGAAAAGCTAGGAAGGAACCTGCCTGCTTCCAGCAAATTCCAGCTAAGCAAGCAGCACTTGAGGGGTGGGGGGGTTGCAAGCTGCATTTGTTGCCACCTTGAGCTCCTGGGGCCCTCCATGGTTTGTTCAGTGAGTGTGTTCTTATCCTGCCATTCCCAGAAGGTTTCTGGAGGCTTCTCTCCCACCTGGGTCCAGAGGGAGGAACAGCAGTCTGCACCCTCGAGAGCCAGGGGAAGCAGACACGTGGCAAAGTAGGAAGCTTGCTGGAGCAGAGCACGAGTGGGGGGGGGGTGTGGCTGGGCAAGGGGGCAAGCTGCTAGAGGCAGTGAGGTTAATGCTAGGCAGAAGGGAGGCAGCCTGGGGCAGCAGGGGGAGCACTGAGTCTGAGGCCCACATGAGAGCCAAGAACCGTGGGAGAAAGAAGCAAGACTATTGCCATGGAATTATGCCAAGGGTTTTTTGGGGGGCTGTCATGCCTATTCATAATGAGGGGACTTAGAGTCAGGGTTAGCTACCTGCCTATGCATACACAAGCTCAGTCTATTCCCAGTGAAGCTCAGACCTGACTAAGACTGGGTAACAGGCACCCTAAGGTGTTGCATGCATAGAATAAACCTGACCGGTTTGTACCCAAGTCCTCTAGCCCTCTAGCATGGTGCTTGTGGGTGCCAGCACCTAACCCTACTACTACTAATAATAGTGATTATAATACCAGCTCTGTCCACAAAGGATGGCCAGAAAGAAGCAGAGGTTTGGCATGACTCGGGACTTGCCCAGGGTCAGGATGAGTAAGTGGCCAGGGTCAGACACTGTGTCATTGCCTCTCCACTCACAGTCCTCCCAACATCTCCTAGTCTGGAGCCCAGGAAGGAAGGAACTATGCCTGCCTCTGCCTCAGGCCTGGATGTGACTGGGTGCGGGCCTACAGGTGGCTGGGCCTGGGAGGGCCGGGTGTGGATGGAGAACTGGTGAGAATATAGTCAGAGTCAGGGTGAGGGCACGGGAGGAGAAGCTTATGATAAGTCCCACACTGCGGCCTGCTCCCTTGCCGCCAGAGCTCGTCTGACTGCCAGACAGTGGGGGACAGAATCAGAGCTTTTCAGGGGATCTCAGCAGAGAGATCTGGGGTCTGGAGGGACATGGTAGTAGCAGGGGGCGCTTCCAGCAAAAGCTCCCAAGCTACCCACCCCATCCTTTTAGGGAACGTGAGGCCTCTTAGTACAAAGGTCTGGGGTTCCCGGACGGCCTCAAAACCCATATCCACTGACACGGTACCCTTAACAGTAAAGAGCTGGGATCTGCCCAGAAGGTGGCCAAATTCTACACATGCCATCCTCCAGAAATAATACAGAAAAGGAGTTCAAGTCCAACAAGAGGCCAGGGAGCCCCGTGGAAAGAATGATGCTCACTGGCCATATGGAAGGAAAAGTATGTGGGAAGTGAGAATTGCCAAGAAGACTTCGAGGAAGTGGGCTGGGAGGGAGACTGTCTGATATGCATGGAAGGAGGGGGAGGCCAGCTGGGGAGGGGGCCATCCAAAGGGGAGGAGGCACAGCCTGAGCTCAGATACCAAGCCCGCTACGTATGACAATGTTGTGGTTGACACTCGGGGTGAGGAACAGTTTGTTTTACCTCTTCTTTCGCTTGGAAAAGTGTTGACTGCCCAGTGGCTAGGAGGAAGGAGGTAATGTATGTGAGCCTTCCCAAGGACTGTGTATCCGGTAATTCCCACCCATGTGCCATGCCTATGCAAAGAGAGAACACTTGCTTAGGTACCACCAACACCTTTTGGTGCTCAGCATCTCTGAAATTCCTGTCACAGTAATAAGAAAATGCAACCATCCTCCTATGGAGATGCCAAAAGCTGAAGCTCAGAGAGGTTAGGTCAATCACCCAAGGCCACACAGCTAACAGTCTACGGATATGACATTTGAACTTAGAAACAGTCTTCTTCAATGAAGTCTTAACCCTGCTCTGCGTCCTTGTGCAGAAATGGAACACATGTAGGCTAGACCCCAGAAGAACTGGCAGGTTGGTGAGGCCGGAGGTTGGAGACATCCACACACGTGTTAGAATCAGGGATGGGAGGGGACGAGGCAATGTCTTTCAGAATGAGTAGACTGGGATGTGGGTTCTGCAACTGGCTGAATCTTCTCCTCTCTTGCTGTCCATATGTGTGGACTGTTCACACAATTGTGTGGTGTGTGTGTGTGTGTGTGTGTGTGAGAGAGAGAGAGAGAGAGAGAGAGAGAGAGAGAGAGAGAGAGAGAGAGAGAGAGAGAGTTTGCTTGAGTAGGGAATGCAAACTTACTCTCTGTTCCCAGAATATCAGGGACCTGGGCGTGTGTTGAAATTCTCCCTGTAAATGAGGAAGAGCAGTGGTGTGAGTTGGCAGCTCCTCCCACCCTTACCTCCAGATCAGAGCCCTGCAGTGCCTTTAAGTCTCTGCCTGGCTCAGCCCCACCCCAGGCTTGTCAGGGAGCTGCAGGAAGGCTGCTGACAGTCAGCTTCCCTCTGCTCCCCCACACCCCATATGGCATTTATTCAGGGATGGGTCTCAGGAGGGCTCCCTGCCCCATTGACAGTCGTGTGACCCACCTTTGGGCTGGACAGACCTCTAGTCCTTTGGCAAACCCACATACCACACAACACAGGGTTTAGTGACAGCTCTGTCTAAGACAAATGAACAGGGAGCTGCCAAGGCTGCTTGGTGCCCCACTATCTCCCACAAACCACAAGACTCTCCCCCAAAAGGGCTCCACTGAGAGCAAGGGAAGGAGTCATAGCCATAGCTAGGCTTCCACAGCCCTAGAAGTCACTAAGGGTTGGGCGGGTGACTGTAAGGTCTCAGAGTTACGCTTTGGTATGTGAGCTGTTATGGTCAGCATATTCTGAATGGCCCACTTGCCAGTCCCTGGAGAATAAGGATGGCCCACTCAGTTCTGACACACGGCTTTAGTCTCCCTGTAGACCAATGCATTGGAACATTGCTCACTGAGAAGACAGAGTGTGTTGTGGTCCAGACCCTCACTCACTGCACTTTGCAGCCCCCAAAAGCCACGCTGAGTGGTCCATTGGATAGCAGACATCAGTGGAGACAATCCAGGGCAGCAGATGTTCTAACTCCTACCGACTCCTGTTGACTGGATATGTTTAGACTGTGCTTTGAGTTTAACAAAACATACAATGGAAGTCAGTTTCACCTGCTTCTGGTTTCTTTTGATATAACTGCTAGAAAAGTCTGTCTGTGGTTTGCAAATGGACACAAGGGTACTGGGTATGGGGAGGAGGGGTCAATTCGGAGAGTTCTGAGCCAGGTTTAGAAGCCGAGCGTCCTGGGGAAAAGGATCCCTGATGCAGCATTGTCCCTGTAAAGATTCACCCTAGATTCCAGGGGTGGTGGGTGTGTGGAAAGATGGAGGGAAGGAGTAGCGAGCAAACACATGAGGCCTGAAGACTCAGCAAACGGTCCCATTGTCCCAGCAGCAATGCTGGATCCCAAGCAAGTGAAGACCCAGACTTCAGGCAGACCTCTAGTCCAGGAGTACAGGCACTAGGGGGACTGGGCTCACTACCCTACCATGCATGTACAGAGCAGGACAGGTGTCTGCTATCCAGGGCTCAGAGCCGGGAATTTTCTAAGGCCTGTTAGCCAAGTCTCTGGCCCTGAGAGCCAAGTCAGTGAGGACTCCAGGGGACTGTGCAAGAGAGGAAAACGAGCGACATAATGCTGCTGCTGGTGACGATAGTGGTAATGACGGTAATGGTGACCATAGCGATGGTGGTGATATCGGTATTGTGATGATAGTGAGGTAGTGGTGATACAGATGGTGATGACAGCAGAAATCGGGAAGATGGTGAGGACGGGGACTAAGGTGTTGATGGTAATTCTGGTGATGGTGAGAGAGATCACGGTGATAATGATGGTGGAAGAAATACTAAGGATGTTTGTAGGGTGTATGTGTCTCAAAAAGCTGAGTCGGGGCAATAGCCCCTCCATTCTGACTGTAGGACTCACAGCTCATCCTCTTGCTTGTTCTATTGGGAAGCAGGAACACGGGCATGGGGTCTGCATTAGGTGGTTAAGGAAACGTGACGCCTGCCTGGAAGACGATTTCCTGATAACTCAAGCTTGCTTTGGACTTTAGAACAATGGATGAGATAAATTATTCTGTGTTCGCATGCTGATATCCTGACATTCATTGGCCGGGGCTCCCCTTCCTCATCCTCTCTCCTCTACCTTCCTCCCCACTGCTTCCTCCTCCTCCTCCTCCTCTTTTCCATACACGAAAAGGAGAAGAAGCCTGGAGGGAGGAAGAAGGTAGAAGAGGGAGACACTGGGCCTCTGAAAGGGATAATGGACATTCCAGGGATGCGATTTGATCTTGGCCCGCCCACTAGCCTGGGATCTGGAGGCAAGTCCAGGCGAGGTCTGGTCTGCGCTGTTGCCGATCTGCTGGGGGCAGGGAGTGGGAGGACAGGGGCCAAGATCTAAGGGCTCCTCCAGGGACTCTGCCTCCAGTCTATGAATAAAGAGAAGGAAAGTGGACTGTGAGCTTCGCCAGGGCTGGAGAGTTCTGAGGGGGCTTGCAGGATAGAGGAATATTTAAGA